AAATTATGCAATAATCTGATATACGTTATTGAGAAACATGCAAATTTTGTTTTTGTTTGATACTGTATATAGTATATTTTAATATAATTCTAAGGTCTAATTTTATGCAGTTTTATATTTTTTTTTATATTTTGTGTTTATGTTTAAGAAAATATTAAGAAAATATAATCTCATTATATGAAATGACTCACTTTTTTAGTACTGATTGCTGGACCATTATTTATACACTGCATTGTCGACGGATTCTCCCCATTTTTTTTTTCAAGCAATTACTGACAGTTATGCCTCTTGGATTTAGATAAAAATACAATTACATGTACTTGGAAGAGGTGGGGATTGGGGATGGGTTGTCTTAACTGTTTCAATACTGTTTGCTTAAGATTTTTATTTGCGTAGATTGTTTTTTGTATACCCAATCAGTAGACAGTTTGATCTTTAAATATGTAACCTAAACAAAACTTAAATACAATTAATGAACAAGTTAGAATTTGTGATAATGCAAGGATGTGTTAATCAAACGCGTCCAGAAATTAGTAGATTAAAAAAAATTCCGGGAAATATGTTTTTATAATATTTTTGTGTGAAATGCTCTATCAACATATAAGTTGCGATATTATACAGAAAATTTGAAAAATATTAAACTTCATCCGTGTTTCAGCACCTTTAAGGACCTTAACAATTTTAATTGTATTTTATAGTTTGTCTTCATTTCGTTTCAGTTCATTTATCATCTTCTATGTTTTATGTGATTATCCTGAATCCTTAATTAAAAAACAAATTAGTTGGATCACTAGAATGGTCACGTCCTCTTTCAAGATGCGATAATTGAGAAATAGCAAAAATGTGGGAGTATCTTTAAAAATCTTCTCAAAAGCCATTGGCCAAACAAGTAATACTTAAGGAAAACCTTCTTTTCATAGTTTCGATTTAATTTTGTTCAAATGATGAACCCAGGGTTAGGGTGAGGCCACCATAAGTGTTAAATTAATGTTTTATAAAGGAACAAATAGAGAAAAAATCTTGAAATTTCTTCTTTCAAAGAGATCAATGATTGATCATATTAATAAGATAAAATCCTAGGATTCAAATCTGTTCAAGTGATGACACTGGTGTTAGGACGAGGCTACTAATAGGAATCAAAGACTGCTTTTTGATACATGAAAAAACTTTAAAAACCTTCTTCTCAAGAACAGCAAAGCTATGATTGGTCATATTGATATGGAAGCATCCTCAGAAAGCGCATATTTTAGTTTGTTTAAAAGATGATCCACGGAGTAGGGTTGGGCCACCATGGAGAATCAAAGTTTACATAAATTTATGGGAAAGACTTATCTTAGATATAGCGAAGATGTATGAAATTCCTCAGGTAGTATAAATTTTAAATTGTTTAAAACCCTGGGGGTAGTTGAGAGAACAACAGGGATGAAATGTTTGAGAAACAAGAGGCCCACGGGCCACATCGCTCACCTGAGAAGCTTTGACCATTCTGTTCTTTATCAGATTTTCCCCTTGTTATACATAATGCATACCCACCCTACCCCACTGATCATAATTTAGACATTTTGAAATCTACACTACCCCATGATCCTTCCATGGGCACATATGTTTCAGCTTTTTCGGCCCAGTGGTTCTCAAGAAGAAGATTTTTAAAGATTTTTCCTATACATTTCTATATAAAATTTTGATTCCCCATTGTGGCCCCGCCCTTTCCCCGGGGGTCATTATTTGAACAATTTAGAATTTACATTATACCAGGATGCTTCCACATAAGTTTCAGCTTTTCTGGCCCAGTGGTTCTTGAGAAGAAGATTTTCAAAGATTTTCCCTTTATATTTCTATATAAAACTTTGATTCCCCATTGTGGCCCCGCCCTTCCCCTGGGGGTCATGATTTGAACAATTTAGAATCTACATTATACCAGGATGCTTCCACTTAAGTTTCAGCTTTACTGGCCCAGTGGTTCTTGACAAGAAGATTTTTCAATGACCCAACCCTATTTTTGTCTTTTCTTGATTATCTCCCCTTGCGAGGGGATATGTCCCTTCATTTTAACAATTAAAATTCTGGATGCTTCCACATAAGTTTCAGCTTTTCTGGTCCAGTGGTTCTTGAGAAGAAGATTTTCAAAGATTTTTCCTATATATTTCTATGTAAAACTTTGATTCCCCATTGTGGCCCTGCCCTTCCCCCGGGGGTCATGATTTGAACAATTTAAAATCTACATTATACCAGGATTTCTTGATTATCTCCCCTTGCGAGGGGATATGTCCCTTCATTTTAACAATTTAAATTCAGGATGCTTCCACATAAGTTTCAGCTTTTCTGGTCCAGTGGTTCTTGAGAAGAAGATTTTCAAAGATTTTTCCTATATATTTCTATGTAAAACTTTGATTCCCCATTGTGGCCCTGCCCTTCCCCTGGGGGTCATTATTTGAACAATTTAGAATGTACATTATACCAGGATGCTTCCACCTAAGTTTCAGCTTTTCTGGCCCAGTGGTTATTGAGAAGAAGATTTTCAAAGAATTTCCCTATACATTTCTATATAAAACTTTGATTCTCCATTGTGGCCCCGCCCTTCCCCCGGGGGTCATTATTTGAACAATTTAGAATCTACATTATACCAGGATGCTTCCACCTAAGTTTCAGCTTTTCTGGCCCAGTGGTTCTTGAGAAGAAGATTTTCAAAGAATTTTCCTACATATTTCTATATAAAACTTTGATTCCCCATTGTGGCCCCACCCTTCTCCCCCGGGGTCATTATTTGAACAATTTAGAATCTACATTATACCAGGATGCTTCCACATAAGTTTCAGCTTTTCTGGCCCAGTGGTTCTTGAGAAGAAGATTTTCAAAGAATTTTCCTACATATTTCTATATAAAACTTTGATTCCCCATTGTGGCCCCGCCCTTCCTCCAGGGGTCATTATTTGAACAATTTAGAATCTACACTACATCAGGATGCTTCCACATAAGTTTCAGCTTTTCTGGCCCAGTGGTTCTTGAGAAGAAGATTTTGAAAAATTTTTCCTATATATTTCTATATAAAACTTTGATTCCCCATTGTGGCCCCGCCCTTCCCCCGGTGGTCATTATTTGAAAAATTTAGAATCTACATTAAACCAGGATGCTTCCACATAAGTTTCAGCTTTTCTGGCCCAATGGTTCTTGAGAAGAAGATTTTCAAAGATTTTCCCTATATATTTCTATATAAAACTTTGATTCCCCATTATGGCCCCGCCCTTCCCCCGGGGTCATTATTTAAACAATTTAGAATCTACATTATACCAGGATGCTTCCACACAAGTTTCAGCTTTTCTGGCCCAGTGGATCTTGAGAAGAAGATTTTCAAAGATTTTACTATAAAATTTCTATATAAAAATTTGATTCCCCATTGTGGCCCCGTCCTTCCCCCCGGGGTCATTATTTGAACAATTTGGTATGTACATTATACCAGGATGCTTCCACTTAAGTTTCAGCTTTTCTGGCCCAGTGGTTATTGAGAAGAAGATTTTCAAAGAATTTCCCTATACATTTCTATGTAAAACTTTGATTCCCCATTGTGGTCCCGCCCTTCCCCCGGGGGTCATTATTTGAACAATTTAGAATCTACATTATACCAGGATGCTTCCACATAAGTTTCAGCTTTTCTGGCCCAGTGGTTCTTGAAAAGAAGATTTTCAAAGATTTTCTCTATATATTTCTATATAAAACTTTGATTCCCCATTGTGGCCCCGCCCTTCCCCCAGGGGTCATGATTTGAACAATTCAGAATCTACACTACACCAGGATGTTTCCACTTAAGTTTCATCTCTTCTGGCCCAGTGGTTCTTGAGAAGAAGATTTTCAAAGAATTTTCCTACATATTTCTATATAAAATTTTGATTCCCCATTGTGGCCCTGCCCTTCCCCCGGGGGTCATTATTTGAACAATTTAGAATCTACATTATACCAGGATGCTTCCACATAAGTTTCAGCTTTTCTGGCCCAGTGGTTCTTGAGAAGAAGATTTTCAAAGATTTTTCCTACATATTTCTATATAAAACTTTGATTCCCCATTGTGGCCCCGCCCTCCCCCCGGGGGTCATTATTTGAACAATTGAGAATTTACATTATACCAGGATGCTTCCACATAAGTTTCAGCTTTTCTGGACCAGTGGTTCTTGAAAAGAAGATTATCAAAGATTTTCCCTATATATTTCTATATAAAACTTTGATTCATCATTGTGGCCCCGCCCTTCCCCCCGGGGTCGTTATTTGAACAATTTAGAATCTACATTATACCAGGATGCTTCCACATAAGTTTCAGCTTTTCTGGCCCAGTGGTTCTTGAGAAGAAGATTTTCATAGAATTTTCCTTTATATTTCTATATAAAACTTTGATTCTCCATTGTGGCCCCGCCCTTCCCCCAGGGGTCATGATTTGAACAATTCAGAATCTACACTACACCAGAATGCTTCCACATAAGTTTCAGCTTTTCTGGCCCAATGGTTCTTGAGAAAAAGATTTTCAAAGAATTTTCCTACATATTTCTATATAAAACTTTGATTCCCCATTGTGGCCCCGCCCTTCCCCCGGGGGTCATTATTTAAACAATTTAGAATCTACATTATACCAGGATGCTTCCACATAAGTTTCAGCTTTTCTGGCCCAGTGGTTCTTGAGAAGAAGATTTTCAAAGATTTTTCCTATATATTTCTATATAAAACTTTGATTCCCCATTGTGGCCCCGCCCTTCCCCCGGGGGTCATGATTTGAACAATTTAGAATCTACATTATACCAGGATGCTTCCACATAAGTTTCAGCTTTACTGGCCCAGTGGTTCTGGAGAAGAAGATTTTTTAGTGACCCAACCCTATTTTTGTCTTTTCTTGATTATCTCCCCTTGCGAGGGGATATGTCCCTTCATTTTAACAATTTAAATTCTTCTTTACCCAAGGATGTTTGCCCTTCACAATCTGCATACTGATTTCACTCAACCTGTATTTTAACAAAATGGACACAATCAAAATACAAAATGTTATAAACAGATAAATAAAATAAACTTATTTGTCAATTTCGGAGTTGAAACTCTCAACCTAAGCATAAATACATCTGTAACTAAGTTTTATGACAACTGATTGTGTATATTCTCAGTAATTAGCAAAAACCCGGTTTCAGTTTCAAAGTCCCGGCCCGGCTCGGTTTTAACCACTGTTGACTACTCATTTTAGTCCCCCTCCAGATCTTTGTCTTGTTTAAATTAAAATTCCAGAGACATACACCTTTACAGAAAAAAAAACTGAAACCCATAAACATTTAATCCCCAAATTATCAAAATACTAATCTAGCATTCTGGCAGTAAATAACATATACAGCGAAGTTTTGTTTCACTACATTTATGCACAATGTACTGATCTATGCTGAAAGTGAAAACGGTTTGAAATCGTAAACAAACCTGCAGTGCATGCCAAGCCATGAATCCGGGAGTTCGAGCAGTTGTCAAGACAAGAATCTCCTTAAATTATCTAGATGAGGTTTCAAAAAATTACCACAGGTTGCAAACTTCGTCAAAATAGCGATGCAGACCCGCTCCACTTGATTTGAAATGATTGGCTATTCAACCGAATACACAGTGCCATATTTGGGTTACTTATCAGAGTAGATCGTTCATTTAACATTCGAGAAGAGTTTACATATTATTTGAATGAAGAGGATAACATAATACTGAGCTGAAAATTGTGTGTAAAGTATGTTTTAGTAGTTTACAATACAGACTGTAAATGTGCGGGAGATTTTATAGATATTGAAGCTTGTAAACAAAACCAATAAACGTAGGACTTATTCACGGCAATGTATGGGAACCAGAACAGGGAACCAGTCTAGAAGGCAAAGAAAATTCCGCCAAGTAAACAACAAAGAAAGGGATTTGGGATGTTGTCAGTTGTATGTATACATTATGTGCGACGGTGACTGCAAGGTAATACATGTGTCTTATTTGTCGCGAATAATTCGTATCTTTTTATTATGGAAATTTATCCGTCCCAACACTGACTTCAAAATTCCTTCCTCTGTTCCCCCAAGTACATGTAACACTCTTCGCTCTCATTTTTTAAAAAATTTCATTGTATATTTTTTGTAGAAAAAAGGAATGTGGAGCTAATGCATGCTGCTAAGGATGGAAAGGTCTTGTGTTTATTGGTTGTGCCTGAGACACCAGTCACAGTTGTACCTTATTTCCATTTTAGGTAATGTCTTTTGAGTTTTTTAAGTAGAGGGAACAATTCATTTTTCATTCAATATAAATATAAAATTCAAGAGATAATTTTTTTTTTCACCATTGCTGGATACTTGCTACATGATTTTTTTTCTAAAAAAAAGTATTAAAATTATTTTCTCACATTTTTTAAAGAGGCCGGGTATGGTGAAGAGGTAATTCATTTTTTATTCAAAATTTTATTTTCCATGCATTTGTACAGGGAGTCTATATACATTTGAGGTGAGCGGCAGATTTAATTTTGAAGAAGGGTGACTTTCAGATGTTGTGATGAAGATTGTTGAAAGGGATTATCAGCATACAACCAATCCATATGAATGTGCAAGTCAGGTGAGGATTGGACTTCAACGTGTAATCAAGAAATGTTTATAGATAATGATTATGTGCAATGGTGTCTGCAAGGTAAAACATATGTCTTATTTGTTGCGAATAATTCGTTTCATTTTATTATGGAAATTTATCCGTCCCAACACTGGCAGAAATATAGTTTATCTGACTTCAAAATTCCTTCCTCTGTTCCCCCAAGTACATGTAACACTCTTCGCTCTCATTTTTTAAAATTTTCATTGTATATTTTTTTGTAGAAAAAAGTAATGTGGAGCTAATGCATGCTGCTAAGGATGGAAAGGTCGTGTGTTTATTGGTTGTGCCTGAGACACCAGTCACAGTTGTACCTTTTCCATTTTAGGTAATGTCTTTTGAGTTTTTTAAAGTAGAGGGAACAATGCATTTTTCATTCAATATAAATGTAAAATTCTAGAGATAATTTTTTTCACCATTGCTGGATACTCACTACATGATTTTTTATTCAAAATTTTATTTTCCATGCATTTGTACAGGGAGTCTAGATACATTTGAGGTGAGCGGCAGATTTAATTTTGAAGAAGGGTGACTTTCAGATGTTGTGATGAAGATTGTTGAAAGGGATTATCAGCATAGAACCAATCCATATGAATTTGCAAGTCAGGTGAGGATTGGGCCTAAAAAAATTAAGTTTGTTTCCTGTAACCCGACCGACCCATTCAAATTATCCCTGGGTGGATTTTTTTCACTGACAAATGGCAAAACTTTGTTTGATCAATCAGCTGATTCCATTTATTAAATTAAAACAATAGCTTGTAGTTTAATTTGAGACATAAAATATGTCAACCTAGTTTACATTTACCTTAAATATAAAGAGTAATCATTATTGTAACAACAGTTTCCCCCTACAACTTTCTGAAGTTTGTTTTCTGTCGCTAGGCAGCCATTTTGGATGCCATGTCGGGTGTCCACTGTAAATATGACACCTGGTATTTTCAGTCTGGGGATGTTTCACCATTCATAAGGGGAAAAAAAATCCGACCTGCCGACCCTTAATGTTTTGGGAATGTTACAGGAAACAAACTTATTTTTTTTAAGCCTTGGACTTCAACATGTAATCAAGAAATGTTTATATATTGCATAGCTTAGTGAAAGCACGCCACAAACATTTTAAGTATCTCAGTAAGTTTCATGGATATTACAGATGTATCACTATGATATGTTTGACATTGAGTCGCAATGTCTTAATTTCCATTATGTTTAGTTATACATGTTTTAAGTTACTTAAGTATGTCTTCAAAAGCTTGTGCTTTAATTTCAATAGAAGTAATGAAAACCTCTTTAAAAATTGTATTGTTTTTCTTTATAATTTTGAAAATGATTATTATTAGGACTTACAACACCTGAGTGCCTAGATGACTGTTGAACTAATTGGTGAACAAGAAAAGATGCCAGAGAGGGGAATCCAATACAGATGTCATGATCAAGAATATATACTCTTAACAATGATATGATCAAGAATATGTTAACTTGTAATGATTTAAAATATCTTATCTGTAAATCACTCTTCATTACTTAATTGTTCACACATTATCATCTACACTTATGCTATAAATCTTATCTGTATATTAATCGCCCCCTCTTATCTAACCCCCTGCTGATTGTAATGACCTGTGTATTGACTCCTGATCTTAAGGATCTTGTAATGTACTCCTGATCATCAGGAACGGATCTTGAGTATATATATAGTGCGACAGAATTTTAGAATAAGATAGGAAGATGGAAATATAGAAGACTTAGTAGATAGAACTGTTAGAGATAGATAAAGTTACTCACTTACTTGGACTATTACATAATAATTCTTGGATTTATATGTACATGTGATTGTTTTACTTGAATTTATTTTTTGTGAATTATTTTTCCTGAATGTTTCTATTTATGATGTGCTGTGTAAATAAACTGTAGACTAGAATTTCGGCATCTATTTTCAAGATATGAGGAACAAGGATAAATTAATTTATTCATGCAAACTGAAATTATGAAATGTGTTGTAAGACCGCTCGGTGTGGCGCTACAAACTAACTAGGAAATATCTTGGAGATTTATAGATGAACATGCAAGCATTCATGATTTTGAATGTTATTTAGCAAGAGAGTTTTGCACAAATTTAATTTTCAGTACAGTAATTTAAACTGGATGTGTAATTTTCAGTACAGTTATGTAAAATGAATATGTTACTTATTATGATTGTCAATTTCTCTACAGGACATAATTGTAGTTTATTTATATGGTCACTCTTGCAGTACAAAACACACAAAACTTTTTTTCTCTGTGTGCATCATACACTTGTGAATGTTTTACACCACCATGTTTACATATTTTACATTGATGACATGTAAATCGAGCACACATATCTGGATACATGCAAACATGCATTTACCATAACCTATTACATATTTTCCAAGGCGTGTGAAGTCGAGCACATACATGAAAATGTGTGAAGCTGGACACATACGCAAATACACATGCATCTGCCACAACCTATTACATATTTTCCAAGGTGTGTGAAGTCGAGCACATACATGAAAATGTGTGAAGCTGGACACATACACAAATACACATGCATCTGCCACAACCTATTACATATTTTCCAAGGCGTGTGAAGTCGAGCACATACATGAAAATTTGTGAAGCTGGACACATATGCAAACACACTAACATATACTACAGACATAAAAACATTATCTAAACTAAGTCAAGCACAGACAGGCTCACTGGGTGAAGCTGGATTCATACATGATCTCATGCATTTTGCAAACTGCATCCTCACATATATTCTAATAGATTTTTCACCATTTTTTGTGTTTGTGAATATGTAAAATGCATCATTTTGCATTACAAGTTGAAGATGTTATTAGCCTGTATGTAAGCGCAAATTAAATTACCTTTTATGTAATTTTTTCACATTTTTAATTCAATTTAAACTGCAAAGTTTATTTCATATATGTACATGCACCATAAAGAATAAATAATATTGTACCGGTATTATATTTTAAAGTGAAATGGGACCTCCATTTCATAAGCAGAAATGTGAAATTTATACTTATCATCTGTATCTTTTTTTTTTATTTTGTCTCACATGTATCTGAATGTGTAAAGGAAAACAAAAGTCAAAGATAGTTCAATATAATGTTTATGTTCAAGGTTATAACGGATATTGTTTGTGCTGTATATATGACTCATCATATGATGAGAAGCCAAAATACAGAATATTTTAGATAATTTTTCTTTGGAAAATGACAATTATCAATATGCCAATTTTTCCCATTGTTATATTAATAATTAATATATCTTTAATATCAGTGTACATATGAAAAATGTATGCCATCCAATCCAGAGAGTTGTAGGCAATCCTGGTGCAGATAATATTTTTTTCCCGTGTTTCATAGTAGAGCGGGAACACATTGTATGAGAGGAACGTATATTAATGGTTTTGGTTGTATATGTAGGCGTGGCCAAAGGAAGGCCAATGAGAAATTAGTACTTAGTAAAGTGTTCAAATCATTCTAAGCCAGTGCTCTTCAATACACACACATTTTTTTTCTTTATATATAATATATATATCATATTTGTATAAATGTACTTGTAATGGAAATAACAAAACTGTTGAAATGTACCCGGTATTTTAATTTGGATTTTTTCATACATGGAAATATTATAGGGTGTTCGTGCATTTTTTACCAATTGCACTGAATGCACGTCCGGCATTCTCCCTTGAGACATTATTTACATAGCGACGGACACAGGTTTTCCATAGTTAACCATCTATGGTTTTTGCCTGGGCGGTTTTTAATGTCTGTGATAGGGGTATAATTTATTAGAGGTAAAATATTTTACAAATGCATTCCAGTGCTTTATTGTTTCACATTCAATGTAATGTATAGATTTTTATAGATATGTATCAAAATAAACGCCAGCTGCTCCAACTAAGCTAACCTGGCTTACAACATAGTTGTATTATTTGAGGTGTAGTCTGTCAAATAATGATGAGTTGAGTGTTTGATTCTGTAGATGACCATTTCTAATACTAATTTCAACTGGAAATGGATACAAGATAATAAAAAAAATATCTTTGACATTTGTTTTAAAATTCTGGGTACTGACTAGATTACATTCTTTAAACTGTGAAAATCCAAAGTATAAGTGTATTAAACAATAGTCAGCATTTAAATAAGACTTTTATAAAATATGTATATTTAATGAACTTTAATATGGAATTAAAGGTGAAAGGTTATATTTAATTATCTTTTCCTGTAAGTAAAGGTTATCTTTTCACCTTTACTTTTTGTAAAGTTAATACAAAGATGACCTTGCTTTTTGGAGCACCTTTAATGAAATTTACTTTGCAAGTAAAGTTTTGTAAAGGTGTTTTTTCAAGCAGTGATATTTTGTGAAAAAATCAGAGAATCCAATATATTGGTTATTTTGGAGCTTACATTTTGGAATGTGTTTATGCTATCTAGGTGCAATAAACAAGTATGTAAAAGTCTGTTATAAAATGCAGTGCAACTTTTGTTCCATAAAGAGTACAGGGCTAATATTTGGACACATATAGATGGAGTCTATATTCTTTATCTACTACAAAGGTCAAGGTCATATCAAGAGGTCAAAGGTCAAATATTGTGACGTCATCTACCGAATCCTTTACTTTTTTGCCATTGAATTTTTTTTAAATCACCAAAATATCTGAAACCACCGGTTCAATTTTCTTTATTTTTACACATTTTATTCTAAAACACATTTAAATCATTCTCTTAATTTTTTGTAAAAAATATATTATAAATTTTCTCCTAAGAAAACTTAAACTATCGGATATTTACATGTAAATTTTCAGTTTTTGACACAATGTATGTTCTTTTTTACTCAATAATTTACCTAAATTTTCCAGTATCAATGTGATTTACTGATTTAAAGTAACAAAAAGGTTATCTTTATTAAAAGTACATGTATTACACAAATTTGCAATAGATCAATAGAAAATTCTAAAATAAGGCTGAATCCTATGTCGAATGTTTTATTTCACAAACTTCTTACAGGTGTCTGATATGGTCAGGTAGGCCATATTTCAGACTATGTGAGCAAAAAGTGTGCGGTTGAATTTCTTTCATATCATATATAAAGAGAGATTCTGTATCCAAGAACAAAATATCAGAGTTTCAGAAAAATTTAATTCGAGGAAAAAATTGACCTATCTATTTGGTCCTACCTTAAATAGCAACAGCTTAATTTCTGCTGATCTCTAGTCTCTAAATTTTGAAGAGAGAAAACTTCTGCCTTATTCCCATTATTTTCAAATTTTGTCTTGTCAATGTATGTGATAAAATGATTTATAATCGATAATACATATGTAATGTTAAACTTTACATTCCTATTTAATTGAGTTTACAACCAATTCTACATGTAGTTTAAATTGTCATATTTCCCAGAATGCAATCATGGCAATTATTGAAAAAGAATTTTAAAAAACATCGCATAGGAGATCATAGAGATAAAATTATGTAATAAGATGAGAATAGGAATATTTTATCGAATAGGAATTGTATTTTTTTTCGAATAGAAAAGATGGTAGTATGTTTTCGAACAACAACTTTATTGCATATAAACCAAATAATCATCGATTAAAAAAGTTTAAATTATCGAATAGGAATGAAAAATTTGCGACTAGCAACCGATTGTTTTAAATATTAATGACTTCGAATAGGAAACGTACGACGGCGTATTCGTGCCATTTTAACAATGTAGAATTTTAAAAAAAATCGTTTGAACGATTTAAAAAAAAAAACGTTTGTACGATTTAACAAATTGTTTGTACAATTTAATAAATCGTTAGTACAATTTAATAAATCGTTGTACAATTTAATAAATCGTTTGTCGATTTAATAAATCGTTCGTTACTTCTCACTAAAATATTGACAGTAGTGAAGGAAAAACTTCAAGAGTACTGTACAACTATATATTCAAGAAGTGGTGTAAATCAGATGTGGATACTTAAAAATTGTAAAGAACTTTTGGACAATTTGAAATAACAAGACTTTACAAAAATCAACAGCATAAAACGTACGACTTTTCAACTTTATACACAACAATTCCGCACGACAAATTAAAATCCAGGCTTTTTGATATCATTGACAGCTGCTTCTTCAACAAAAATGGAACTCGTAAGTTTACTTACCTCGTCATTGGTCATTTGAAAAATTATTTCGTTAAAACAGATTCTGATTGCACACATAAGTACTCTGAAGTTGACATCAAGAAGATGCTTGAGTTTCTGATTGACAATATCTATGTGGTTTTTGGAGACCAGGTATTCCAACAATCTATTGGAATTCCCATGGGTACAAATTGCGCTCCGTTATTAGCAGACTTATTTTTATATTCATATGAAGCAGAATTTATGCAAATTCTTTTGCGTGAAAAGAAGAAAAACACTTCCTGTGGCCTTCAACTCGACATTTAGATATATCGAAGACGTATTGTCAATTAATAATGATAATTTCCATTCCTACGTCGACACGCTATATCCTGGTGAGCTTGAGATAAAATATACCACAGAGTCCGACACTTCTGCTCCATACTTGGATATTGTACTTGAAGAAGACACTAATGGTAATCTAACAACCAAGCTATATGATAAACGTGATGACTTTAACTTTTCTATCGTCAACTTCCCTTACTTATGCAGCAATATACCTTCATCACCTGTATACGGAGTATTTATATCTCAGTTGATTCGATACGCAAGAGCATGCTCTACGTATAAAAATTTCTAAAATGAGGTAAGTTACTGACAAACAAATTGATGACACAATAATATCGATCAGCAGTCTCGTTTAAAGTCATCATTTCGTAAATTCTACGGACGATAAAATGACCTTGTCGGCAAATACAATTTATCATTGAATGAAATGTTGACTGACGTTTTTCATACCAATTGTTAGTCCATTATTTATACACTGAATTGACCACGGATTTTTTCCGTTATTTCCTGATTATGACAACGAGCACACGGCGGGTGTGACCGGTCGGCAGGGGATGCTCACTCCTCCATGGCACCTGATCCCACCTCTGATGTTTCGGAGGTCCGTGTTTGCTCTGCACTCATTTTGTATATTTGTTTAATGGACGTTGAGATAGAATACTGTTCGTTATTTCCATATCCTTCTTGTACGATTTAACAAGTCGTTTGTACGATTAAATAAGTCGTTTGTACGATTTAAAGATTGTTTGTACAATTTAGTAAATTGTTTGCACAAGTTATTAAATCGTTTGTACAATATGTTTGCTAAATCGTTTGTACAATTTATCAAATCGTTTGTACAATTCATTAAATCGTACAAACTATTTTTTTAAATCGTACAAACGTTTTCTTAAATCGTAAAAACGGTTTCCTAAATTGTTCAAACGATTTATAAAAAAACGTACAAACTATTTTGATAAATCGTATGAACGAGAAAAAAAAGTGAGGGGGGGGGGGGGCAGCCCCCCTGTTGCTACGCCCCTGCAAAGATAACTGAAACCGTGCACTGATCAAAATGTACATATATACATGGGGTGATACTGTATGTTTATATCTATTATTTTTGAAAAGGGAAAAAATTGAAACCGAAATATAAATAAAGTGATACTTATAAATCCCGTAAAACAACTTCCCAGCTAAAAAAATGTTCAAACTTTGAGGTGGGGTCAATAATCAACAGGGTCAATTTTCAACTTGTTGATGTCATCAGGTGTAAGAAAAAAAATTATCAAGCTGTTGAAAAATGACCCCGGGTCAACGACTTTTAGTCTCAATATTCAATGTTGAAAAATGACCTCGGTTCAATATTCAACGTTGAAAAATGACCCCCGGGTCAATTTTCAACTCGGGTCAATATTCAAAGTTACACCGGCCGTAGGGGGCCGTGGTGAACTGAAGCAAGATTAAATAAGAAATCCCCCACAAAACCATCAGACCGGAAAGAAATCTAGGCGAATCGGGGACCGAAAACACGCGGTCAACTTGTTCCAATATTAAGTTCATATTTTTCTTCCTTTATTTTTTTTTTCTTTAAAAACAGAGAAAAATAATTATACTAAATTAGGACATTAAAGATTTGTTTAACTAAGCATCACTG